CCTCTGCCTGTAATGCTTCCCAGGCATTCTATCTCAACTCCAGGTCACCTCCCCACTTTCCTGACTGCTTACCCCACTACCCTGACTTACTTTCTCCTAGGCACACACCTCCATTTAAATGGATCTTCTTATCTGTTCATACTCTGATCCCTTCCCTGAGATTATAGCTCTGATAAGGGAGGCCAATATCTGTTTTATTCACACTGAGTCACAAGCAACTAGAAGCAGAAGCTCAGCGTAGGTGATCCATCAATATTGAGTAAATGAATGGATCAATAATTGGATTAAAAACATCTAATATATTGGGTACTGTGTTCCTTCTTAGGTCAATGGTTTAAATCTAGGGACAATTTACTCCAGGTATTGACTATCTACAAATGTTTTTGATTGTCACAACTGGGATAGGTTGCTACTGACATCCAGTGAATAGAGGACAGGCTATTACTAAATACTCCATATGTACATGATGATTTTGGACCACAGAATTGTGCAGGCTAAAGTGTCAATGCTGCTGAGGTTAAAAAAAAAAAAAAAAAACGTTGCTGAAGAATCAACATGGTGGAATCATTAGCCAGGGTGAAGCAAAAATGGAAGATTCCAGGAAATAGGACAAGGCATTCTGACAGCACAAGGGTCCCTAGAGACCTGTGGACACAGGGAAGTGGCAGAAACAACAGAGTGGTGTTGCAGTGACCAGATACCTCATCAATGGTCAACAAACGGTGATCTGAGGTTCACCAATGGCCAGAGATCCACCAGCAGCCAGGTGGAAAACAGAGTTCATTAGGAGCTCTGGAGGTGAACACAGGCAAAGAACTGCCCATCCTGATGATTTGTCTGATTCAACCAGGAGCAGACAGAGCAGCAGACCCCAAGCAGGTGGTGCAGAACAGGGCAGATTTCACAGCCCAGACCACCAGCAGTGCCATGTTGGGAGCCATTTCGGGTAGTATGGCAAGGCTAAGCCAGGAGAGAACTCATTTCTGGCTCTGTACATGCACTGGCACCACAGAGAAAAGAGCACTGATGTTGCATCCTACAAATTTCACCCAAAATAGGTCCGGATAGCCCTCAGGCCTAATGGCCAGCTGACCCAGAACTCCACCAGTGCCATGTTGGACACCATTTTGTACAGTGTGGCAAAGGCTGTGGGACTGGAGGGATAATAGTGAGCTGCACATTGACTCAGCTCTGGCTGTTGCAGGGAGAAAAATCACTTCAGGCTCAATGTGTTGCACGGGTCTCACAGGAAAAATAGTACCGACTTTGATATGCTACAGGTCATACTCAGAATAGATCCAAGTGGTCCTCAAAACTAGCAACCAGCAGAGCTCAGTAAGAACAGCATCACGAACAACCCAGATATTTAGGAAAGCTAGTGTCTCCCTTTAATTCTGGGAACTTCTGGAATTAGAAGTGAGAGAGAGGTTGTACAGGCAATGGTGCAGTCACAGCACAGGATCACAGGAGATGGAGCCCCAAGCCAGGTGTTGGGGCTACAGAGACCGAGGTGGAAGCCTAACACAATAACTCCAGACCTGAAACTCACTGGAGGGAGTGGCACAAGTGACTACAAATGAACAACTGGGTACCAAACTCAATCAATAAAATTGACTTGTAGACATGTGGGTGACATAACTTAGAAATCTGCCCTAAGGAAAAAAACTGCTAACCAGAAGTGCAGTGACCAAGAGCAAAAGAAGAGACAGAGAAACGATGAATATTACTGAAAACTCCTGCAAAGGAGCAAAAGCCTTTGTTAACCTGGGTTAACTGAGGAATATATTGAGGAAATGGGGGATAAAGAACTTGAAAAAATTGGTATAAAGTTTCTTTTCAACAACAGAAGCACATACAGGAACTTAAGGATTATGTCACACAGGAAATAGCAACACTGAAACAAAATCAAGCAGAATTATTTGTAAGAAAGGACACAATGGAATGGAGCAAATTAAAAATTCAGTGGAAAGCCTCTACTATGGAATGAAGGAGGCAGCAGTAAGAATCTCAATTATGAGATTTGAAAGATATGTCTTGCTTCAATAGAGAAACAATCAAAAAGCTGGAAATAGAGCTGAGTCAAGCAAAAAAAAAGTATTTAAAAATTAAGAGACAGTATTAAAAGGCCAATTATAAGAGTCATGGAAATTCCAGAAGGTACAGAAAAAGAAGCTGGTTTTAAAGATGTATTCAATATGGAGAAAGAACTGGGAAACCACACACAGGAGGGGAACAGAACTCCCAATAGGATGGATCAAAAGTGATCATCACCATGACAAATGATAAGCAAGCCTTCTTCAGTCAAACATAAGGAAAAGATCCTGAGATAGGCACATGAAAAAAATCAACATCCAGAGGAATCTTAATCAAACTCATTGCTGACCTCTCATAGGAAACTCCACAGGCTACAAGAGCATTGAGTGACAAATTGTAGATTTTAAAGGAAAAAATTGGGCCCAGTGCACGTAATCTAGTTGCATGTCCTCACCTTGCATGTGCTGGGATCCCATATGGGCACTGGTTCTAATCCCAACTGCTCCACTTCCCATCCAGTTCCCTGCTTGTGGCCTGGGAAAGCAGGAGATGACCCCAAACCTTAGGACTCTGCACCCATGTGGGAAACCCAGAAGAAGCCCTTTGCTCTTGGCTTTGGGTTGGCTCAGCTCTGGCTTTGCAGCTACTTGGGGAATGAACCAGAGGATGGAAGATCTTTCTCTCCTTCTCTTTGCCTTTTTAATAAAAATAAATAAATCTTTCTTTTATGAAAAGGGGGTGAGAGGTGAAATTGTCAGCCCAGAATAACTCACCCAGTAAAGCTTTCCTTTGTCTTTGAAAATGAAAGAGAATTCTGTTACAGTAAAGAAAAGCTCAAAGAATATGCTTCTTCTAGACCTGCTCTATAAATGATACTTAAAGATGTTCTCTTGACAGAGAAAAGGAATAGTATCTACCAAAGCCAAAGAGAAATGTGGAGAACATCCCAGTAAAATAACAACAGAGGAGTAAATTTAAAAATGAACTATCTATTGCTAAAGTGACAAGACCGAATTACTATCTATTCATATTAGCCCTGAATATAAATGTTTTAAACTCATCAATCAAACCTCATGGATTAATGGACTGCATCAAAAAGCAAAACCCTTCTAACTATCACCTACAGAAGACATGTCTCACCAACAAAGACCAGCGGAAACTGTATCTCATGGATTTAGATGTTTCTGTTTTTACTTTCATTTCTTCAAAATAGTTATTTTTTTTCTCACATTAAATTCTTCTCTGACTCATAGGTCATACAGTAGCAATATTTTTTTCAAGAAGGTTCTTTATATTCTTTTTACTTTCTTCAGTGACACATCACTTATTCATGTTATTTAACTTCATGATATTGTAAATTTTTGTTTTTTCTTATTGTTGATTTTGTTTTGTGGTTTTCATTTAAATGGATGTATAGAAACTATGTAATGGAGACTGTTATATCCAGATGTGGGATGGAATGCAGTACGCATCTCTACTTCTAGATCTAAGATGGACTTTCAATGAAATTGTGAAATATATCTTGACAATAGGATACTGGACTCTCCTCTATTGTCTGTACCCACAATGTCAGGATACACTTAAATAGCAGAATGATGGACTTATGACTGTTCATGAAGGACTGTACTGTGTAATAGTATAGGAGAAATCAATGTTTGTGGGAGGGATTTGGGGAGAGGGTAACGGAAATCCCAGAACCTATGGAAGTGTATCATGAAATAATAATAAAATGAAATAATAAAAAAAAAAAACAGAAAAAAGTTGCTACAGAGCAAACCAAAATTTTCAGAGCAAGCTCTTAGAAGTTATTTCCATTTATCTTCTGTTTGTGTTAGAAGCACAATTTAATAAGATTTGTGAAACTTTAGATTTGTTTTTAATCAACAAGATATTTATATCTAGAGATGCAAATTTATATATTTTACCATTTGCCTTTAGAAGCAAAGAAGCAAATAATTTTTTCTAGTAGCTGAAATATGTACAGGCATAGTAGAGTTTAAATTGATTTTTTTTTGTAAAACAAAGAAAAATCTTCCACAAACAATAAGGTCATGAAACAGTGGTATTGTTTGAAGAAATACTCTTTGAAGATGAAACTTGCTTGTTTGTTTTATAAGAGATTTTCAACCATTAAAGTGCACACAGTCATGATGGAATTTTCCACAACAGGCTTGGATGCCCCAGGACAGATGAGGCGAAGCACATAGCAATCTATGAGCCACACATACTGGAAGGCAGTCGTCACTGGAGCCCTGGCGGCATCGGATAAGTGAAAATTTCTATAATAAGTTCCCATTTCTCTTCCTGATTAATGACTATTTCTACTTTTCTGAACACATGGCTTGAATTGTGTTCTCACTATTAGTTAACTGAGGAACTACTCCATTCCTTAAAATTGATAGTAGCTGTTATGTTACTATCTTAAGATCTTGGGGATTTAGGATACCTAAATTGCCCTCATCTTCTGGGAAAGATGACTGGCTAATCTTGGTTCAACTGCCCTACAGAAATTTCCTTTAAAATATTTGAAACTTTAAAAATAAAATTTTTAAAAAGGATTTATTCCAGATACAAAGGAAAAAGAGATAGTGAAAGAGTGCTTGTCTGTTAATACATTCCCCAGATGTCTCCAAGGGCTCTCAGCTGGGGCAAGAGCCATGAGCTCCAGCCAGGGTCTCACATGTGCCTGGCAGGAACCAAAGTACTGCAACCTTCATTGCTGCCTGCAGGGGCTGCCTTAGCAGGAGGCTGCAGTCAGGACCAGAGCCAGGCATTGAATGCAGGCATTTAGCTCTGAGGCACAGACTTCTACACCTGGTTCTTCCAACACTCATACCACTGCTAAAGTTTTTTTTTTTAATGTAAATTTACAAAAGTTTAAAAGTCTTTAATTATATGATTTAAATTCTTAAAAATAAAAAGAGGTAAGATAATGATACATGGGCATTTCCATGTACCTCTCTTACCTGGAGGAATGTCGGAGCCCACAGTCGTGATCTGACCTTCAGGACTGCGCTTTCTCCTCCTTCCAGGCGTCCCACTGTACAGGAGATTTGCAAACACTCAATATTGGTACAGTTCTGCAAAAAACAACAGGAGTGGCAGCAGCACATCAATGACTTTAGGCTGTGGTAGACAAACACCTCTGAAGTCAGTTCATTTCCCCAGGAAGCATTGCCTTATTAACAAATTACAGTGAAACAAATACATTGAAATAATCAAGAAAAAATATAGTAGCAATGAAAAATCAACATTTTTGGCAATACAATATAAAATGGAATACACAGTATAACATGGAACAGTACCTACGGTGTAAGCTCTTTCTTAAGAACCCTGAAAGCTTCTGCTTCACTTTCTCAGAACTCTGGAAGATTCTTGAAGACATTCATGATACCAAATACAGAAGTATGGAAAGGGTTGTGAAGGAAGGCTGCTTAGTTCCAGCATTATTGATCTGTTGCTATATCTTAAAAACCCAATAACATTCATCTGTTGTAGCACATTTCTCCATAACCTTCTTCTCTATGTTCAAAGTATTTCCTTATTGCAAAACATGTCCTTCTGTGCATTCCACTGTAAGGTTTTTAAACTTGCGTGTAGGGTTGTCCAGTTTATAATGGATAACCTTTAACACATTCCCAGAAATGTTCCAAGAAAATGCTCACTGTGCCAATGTCCTGCATTTGTCAATTGGATCACAATTTGGAAAGAAATGACACCTTACAAACCATTTTCTGTGTGCCATACACAAAACCCTTGCCAATTGCATTCCTTCACTGATTTGAATTTATCTTGTGGGCAATGCCTGTTCATTTTTCATGTCTCCATTATTGGACACTGGATACATATGCTCAATGAAAATCAATGTACTGGATATCGTGTGAAGTAGCTAAAACTTCATTTTAGTGAATTTATTAAACTATAGAATAACCTGAAGAACATACTACTATCATAGCCTTTTTCTAGAACTCTGGAATTCTCTTAAAAGAAAGAGTTGTAATATATATCTAATCAATTTTAGTGAGACTATATTTCTGTTTAAAGGACATTTCCAAACACTGGTGCCTGGGCTGTTCTACATAACTAGATTTGAGTACTGAGATGCCTACTAAGCCTGTGATTAAAGTAAATTGAAAGTATGTTATTGTAAAACTTAAAGGAAAAAAATGTAGGGATGGAAAGGAGGGAAATGATTCTTTTCTTAGAGTTGTGTTAAGGAGACCTAGGTTTGTATTCAGAAGTCAGCGGGGGGCCTGGAAATTTTCCAAATCCAGGAGTCTGATGAGGTTAATATTTTAAAGACAAATGATGTGCCTGAAGGAATGGATAGAGGAGAGTGACAAGCAGAAAGGTGACCAGGGCCAAGAGCTCAAGAAGGAAATGCCAAGACCCTGAACTGAGACAGTATGGAGACAGGATCATGAAGTTTAGAGTTAGAGAGAACAGGTGGTGCTTAATAGAAGTTAGGACAAAGGAAGGAAGGGGAGAGAGATGGGAGTTCTTTGGGATGAAACCAGGTGGACAGATACTAGTAGTACTGAGATTTGGGGTTCTAGACAAGATACATTTGGGCTAGGGGTAATGGAGCAAGGAGTTGAATGGCTAGGGCAGCTATCAGACATGCAGAGGACCCTTTCAACTCTTGAGTGCAGTAAGAGTGGGCTATGAAGGTAAGAAGCACCTTCCAATGATTGGGGATAGGGTCATGCAAGGGAGTTCCTTGAAACGTGCCAAGTCAATGGGAGAGAAGAGGAGGGTGGAGATGGAATCTGGAGGTGCAGAAGCACTTACAGGTGGGCAGGAGAGGATAGCATTAAAAATAGAAGAGACTGGCCAAAGAAAAAAAGAGAAATAGGAGACAATGTTATCTGGGGAAGCCACAAGAAGTGACAGTCTGAGGAAGTGGCCAATGGTGTCAAATACTGAAGAGAAGGTTGCTGCAAATCAAGTGAGTAATGGGCAGAGAGGAAAGCTTAGGGAGGAAATGGAGGTGGCAATAGCAAAGGAGCAGGGCCCTGGGAAGAGAATAACGAGGGCATTCTTGCGGGGGGTTGGTTGGATGGGGAAAGAAGTTATTCAGTATTACAGATACAACTTTTTCCAATGCAAATTGGAAATTATGATTGCAAGGGGATGCTGGTTTTTGGCACTTCAAATTCCTAATCAGAAATGTGCTTCAGTAAGTTGTTTTTAACTAAACAAAAGCAGTAGGAGGTCTTATTTAGCTTTTGATTTTTAAAATAAACTCTGCATAATCACGCTCTTTCCATAGCTGTTTTGACTTGAGGACATGGAGAGGCATTCTGATTTGCATTTTTAGCCAGTAAGACAGAGAGAATTAAATCTAAGGAAAAGTCCTATTTGGAAGTCAAGGATTGCCTTGGCAATCATTTGCAGGCAAATGAATTTCTGTGATAATCAGAGGTGAAAAATAATCTTACATCAAAAATGCTTAATAAATAACAAAGGAAGTAAAAAGAATTATCTGAAAATCCAAGCACAATAATTTCAACAGAATCTTAATCGTGGATTTTCACTACCTCAGAGTACTCATGAGATACACACAGAAGCAGAAATTGAAGAACGGGCCTGGTGCAATAGCGTAATGGTTAAGGTCTTCACCTTGAATGTGCCGGGATCCCATCTGGGCGTCGGTTCTAATCCCGGCAGCTCCACTTCCCATCCAGCTCCCTGCTTGTGGCCTGGGAAAGCAGTCGAGGCAGGTCTAAAGCCTTGGAACCCTGCACCCGTGTAGGAGACCCAGAAAGAAGTTCCTGGCTCCTGGCTTCGGATCGGCGCAGCACCAGCCATTGCGGCCACTTGGGGGTGAATCACCAGATAGTCTCTGTCTCTCCTCCTCTCTGTGCATCTGCCTTTCCAATAAAATAAATATTTTTTTAAAAAAAAGGAAATTGGGGCCCGGCGCGGTGGCGCAGTGGTTAAGGTCCTCGCCTAGCACGCCCGGGATCCCATATGGGCGCCGGTTCTAATCCCGACAGCCCCACTTTCCTTCCAGCTCCCTGCCTGTGGACCAGGAGAGCAGTCAAGGATGGCCCAGTGCTCTGGGATCCTGCACCCATGTTAGAGACCTGGAGGAAGTTCCTGGCTCTTGGCTCCAGATCAGCACAGCACTGACCGTTGCGAGAAGATCTTCCTCTCTATCTCTCCTCCTCTCTGTATATCTGACTTTGTAATAAAAATAAATAAATCTTAAAAAAATAACAATGTGCAGAGTGTTATTAAAAGTAAATTAACACTCATACATGATTTGGATACATTTTAGTGTCTTAAAATTTACTTGAATTATAATCTGCCAATAGCCATAGTTTTTTTGCACTTCTGTTATGACTCCTAACTTGATTTAAATTTAATTAATTATTTAAGATTTGACTGTACTTTTCTATTCCCATGTTTGAAACATTTCCAGATGATTATATAAGTATTTTTCAAAGAGAGTGTAAGATAAACTTTGTATGTTTAGAACCATTTTAGAGTAAATTCTGGAGCATTAATTACATGTATCCCACTGCCACCATTGATCTGCAGAAATCACTGTTCTTCCTGAACTGAAACGTTGGTTCCATGAGACACAGAACTGTGGTGTGTGTCTCTTTCGCCCAATATCCTCTTTTGGTGGCTCTTTTCTATTACTAATAAGGGGTGAATCATGGGACAGGTAATATTTAGAATTTTCTAGAAAAAAATCAATGCAAAATGGTATAATCCTGTTTGATCTGAACTAAATGATTAATAGTATCAGAGTTTTTTAAAATTAATTAATTACATTTCATTTTATGACACAGTTTCATAGGCTCTGGGATTCCCCCAACCCCTGCCCGTACCATTCCCCCATGGTGGATTCCTCTACCTTGTTGCAGTATTACAGTTCAGATCCAGTCATGATTCTTTCATTGCAAGCATGTACCATGCATAAAGTCCAGCATCTTATTGTCCAGATAAATTCAATGGTTTCTTGGGGAGACCATTTCTGGTCTGAAAGCAGAGCTGGCAGAATATCATCCCGACCAATTAAAAGCCCCAACATAACATCAACAACAGTTTACAACATTATGGAGTTAATTGACATGGTATTGAGTGACCACTATGTTAGAAAATGCAAGTTCTTAACCACGTCCTGTGACTACTTTATTGACATCTCTATTTTGGTTTATACACTACTGGCTGCTATACACCTTAAAATGGCTATAGGGTACTATTTGGCTGTCTTGTATCTATTTTCATTTTAGTATTTAGCAGTTTATAATGTTGATGCATAATGTTTACTGAACTTGGCAAATTTAGGATAGTCCAAACTGGCTTGTAACTCTAAGACAGCATATGTCAACAATTGAGGCGCAGAACAGTTTTAGGAGGGGTGTGCAGAGAAATCTTCAATACCTTAGTGAGGAGTAACTAATCTTTGTGTCCTTCCTAGTAAGTGAGTCCAAGCTGACCCTTTCCTTATTGGTTCTGAGCTTTCCTTATTGGTCCCTGACTATCTAATCTAATAATTTTTAGCGGCGGGCGCTCCGGAGCAACCCTGATGGGCATTGCAAGAGAGGATTGGAATCAAAATTGGAACTAAGTGAGGACCAGAGAGAGCTCCCCTTCTGAGTCCTGAAGAAAGTTTACTGTTCTGTTTCTGAGGTCCACTCAGGGTTCCTGGTTATTGTTCCAATAACATCGGATCCTGTAAGGAAGGATCTGAGCATCTTTTATCCCATGTGAGCGATCTGAAAGGGAGTGGATGACCTCGGAGTTCTTGGCCTACAAGGGCAGTCCAATTCCCAGTGGTCTCCTTGGAAGTTGGGATATAGCCCTTGGTGCCCGTACCGATAGTCCTAGGTGAGGATCTGGGAGTCTCCAGGGTTGTCATACAAGCCTCCTCCTGTCCTCCTGTTCCCTTGTGGGGTCGCCCCTGATCTGTGCTAATGACCTCCTGTTAAGAGGTTGTCAGGATCACTCTTGATTCCCTCTGTATGTCTTTATAGTTTTGCTAATGTCTAATGCTGATTCGAGTCTGTTATCTATAATTTACCTGATATATTCTTGATAGGTTATACTTCACATCCTCCACACT